ATATTCAATATTTTAATAATTTGATAAGATTTAATTTAAGATGCAAATCTTCTAATAATTTAGTAGGATTAAAATAAAATATTTTATTAATAATAAATTTTTTTATAAAAATTAATTTATAAAATTTTTCAATAATTTAATAGAATTTATAAAAAATTTAAATTAATGAAAAATCATTCAATTGTTTGGTAGTATTCATGAATTTATTTTAAATTTTTTTTTATTTTTTTAAATAAATAAATAAAATGGATTTCATAAAAGTATTTTAAAATAATAAATTGTTCAATTTAAAATAATAATAATAATAATAAATTTAAAAATAAAATAAATAAAAATATAAACAAAAAATAAAATAAAATAAAAAACTTGCAATAAAGTCGGATGAGCGAAGTTGACGCTTGGATTAGAGTCGAGTTCACGTGAGTCAAATGTTTTCCCAAAAATAATACCATTTTAGTAGCATAGAAGCAAACAAATTATTTTTTTCTTAGATTCCTTTGCACCTTCTATCTCTAACCTATTTTTACTCTGCTTTCTTTCCAAAAAACCTTAACTAAAAATTTCAAAATCCCCATATCCTAGCCAGAAATCTCAATTTTTGATGTCGTGAAATTCAAATAATCATTGAAAACTTCAAGTTTTTTTGGAAATCAGGTGAACATAGAAAGTAGCAACATTCATCCCCCTCCAACCATCATGAATGTCGCCAGAATATTTAAAGCTTCACCAAAAAAACCAAATTAAGCCTAAAAAATTATCAAAAAACCCGTAATTTTTTTAAAAATATTCCTAAACTCAAAAAATTCATAAAAATTATAAGAAATTCACCAAACTTTATATAAAAACCCATAAGTATTTTCACAATTTCAAATCAAACAAATCCTATACCTAAACTTCCAAAATCAAAAAAAAAAAAAAACCAAAACCCAAATTCTTGAAACCTAACCTTCAAAACCCCGAAACAAGTAGATAAAAGAAAAAAAAAACCCCCAATGAATGTTAAAACCCTAAACCAAAAAAAAAAAAAAACAATTAGAACCTATAACTAAAAAACCAACGCCCCGTATCATTGATTCCCCAAAATTAAAAAAAAAAAAAAAAAAAAAAAAAAAAAAAAAAAACTCATAAATTTTTTTTCAAGATTTCCAAAAGCCATAGAAAAAAACCTAAAATTCCACCCTTCTTATTTCTATTCCTTTTCAACGTGCCTGGTCCCCACTTCTTACAGGGATTGAATCCCTTTTAAATTTTGAAATGAATCAATCAATTCAATCAGATTTTTTTGAGAACTAATTCTCCTTGCTTTTCTCAATCATTAATTCTCAAAATTTTAATCCAAGATGGAATCATGGATTCATAAATCACATTTTCATCATCTGATTTTTTTTTCATTTTTTTCTTTTATTTTATTTTACTTTTGACCATTTTTACTTTTTAAAAGCAAGTAAAATTAATTAAACAATAATAATAAAGAAAGCAAATTAAAATTAAAAATTTTTTCTATTAAGTTTGAAGCTTTCCAATCGAATCCAATTCACAACAAAAAATTTATTTCCGATCTCGAAAAAATTTTAAACAAAATAAAATATCTACAATATATACAACCTCCACTAGGTAAAACAAAACTAACTCACGTGAAAATCAAGTTTAAATTATGGCAAGTTCTGCAAGTTTGAATGCTCCAATTTTGGCTAGATATGACGGGTAAAAACCTTGATTAGGTTAAACTAATAAAAAAGCATTTGAATTTTATAATTTTATTTAAATAAATTTTTATATTTTTATAATTTTATTGCATTTAAATAAATTTTTAATTTTTAATTTACATTTAAATAAGTTTTTAACCTTTAATTTATACTTAAATAAATTTTTAAATTTGTAATTTATACCTAAAATTTTTTTAATATAAATTATTCTTTTATTTGAAATAAAAAAAAATTAAATATAAATGAAAGTATAAGAATGTAATTAAATATAATAAAGTAAATTAAATTTTTTTTAATATTTAAGTCTAAATAAATAAATGATCAGTACTAGAAAAGACAACTTAACAGTGATCTAATTACGCGATATTTCCACGTACCCTTGGGATGAATCCAAGAAGGATAATGCAATTTTGCTTTTACAATTTTATCACGGTAATTTAAAATTTTCCAACTTCTTAATGCTCAATTCTCTCCTGACCATTGACAAAGTATATATGTTCTAAAAATATTTGAGAAGCCAAAAGTTTTGTGATATGCCGACAAAATATTAGATTCTTAATTAATTTCAGTTATCAAAATTTAATTTTGTAACAATCTTAAATATTAAAAAATAGTTTTAAAAGAACATTAATTAATTTACTAAATTACAGAAAAGGAACTACCAAAGTAGTAGTTGTTAGTTGAAACCATATTGTATTATTTATTCGTCTATAATCAGCTACAAAGTAGTATTTCGTTTCTTCACTCTCCAATATTTTATGAGATTAAGTCGTACATCTTTTATGAGTTATGTATTACGGAAACATATTATTTATAATAATTATATTATAATTAATCAAAATTTAAAATTATATAAAACCCAGTTGCAATTGGTGTGGTATTGCCTTCCCCTGATTTAAGGAGTCAAAAATTCCTTGTAAGTCTTGAAATGTTGATTGTTATACACATTAATTAACATGCTTATTAGTATACATCTTTTATTTTAATTGAATTATAAATATAAAAAATTTTAATTATAATTAAATATTACATTCATATAAAAAAAATTAACCAATAAATTAAAATATGTTTAAATAAATCTAATATAAACTTACATATAATAAAATTTGAACTTAAAATAATATTTTGAAATTTTAAAAATTTTTCTTATCACTAAATCTAAATGGTACAAATAGCCTTCTCGATCAATTGAAGGGAGAATAACAAAAAATAATAATAATAATAATTAAAGGGTCCCTTTAAAACCGATGCGAAAAAATTTATAAATAAAATTTATAAGAATAGAGAACAAAATCTTATGTTAAAAATTAGACTTTCGAAATTACGTAATACATCAATTTGCTAGTTATGAAGTTGATTTGAAAAATATAAAGCAGGCAATTAGGCAAATATCCAGGATGGTTGACGTGAAAAGACTTGCTGCCTAGTTACGTGAAAAGAAAATGATCGAGGTAGTACCCCATATATGGCTGGCGTCTTTCCACTGGCTAGGTCGCTGGCTACTCTCTAATTCCCTAGCTATCTAGCTGAAGTCTTGGCCTTGCACATTTCTTCAATCTTGAGTGGCTAAATTTTCCGACGGACGAGACTTCGTTAATTGGTGTCTAGATTTGAAATTTGCTTTGGGTGACGGCTTTCACCACTGACAAGTTAACAAATGCATTAAGACCAAACCCTTTCTCCCACCCCCCCCCCCCACCTGGCCTTTTGTCTGGAACCTGGAGTCCGCACCAATTTCTTCGTCAATTCAACTGTGTGTGTGTGGCTCGCAGCCACAAACCGCATGCAAGTTTGGCAATTCATGGTAGTTACCATTTTGATTTGTAATGGAGAATTTGAATGAAAACCCCAAATTTTCAAAATCAAAATTTTCTTCTCCTGATTTCCCCAAAGGATTGTGGCGGAAAGAGGAATCGGCAGGCGCGAAAGGTTTGAAATGACAAATCTAGAAGTTTTTTCAGCACACCCAAAAGAAAGTCTCCAATTCTAAGCTACTTTCATTAATTCTATTTGGAAGCTATGAATTCTAATAATCTCTATCTCATCATTGGATCAGGCGGCTGTAAGTATCTCATTAATGCGACCAAAATCATTCAAGTCTATACATTAGCATTTGGACTTTCCAGCATTAAGTGGTGTGCAAATGTAACTCCGCCACTCATTTCGAAATTCCAAACTTTTTTTCTTTTGACTTTTATATCGTAAAAAACAAATTTTATTATATACGTTAATTGTTATAACTTGCAAAACAATGAAAATAAAAATTTCCTATCTTTTAACTCCTTGCCCTCACATGCTAAAAATGCAAACTTAATGAATATAAATCAAATTCCCTGAGAAAGAAAAATATAATCCAATCAGAGAAAATCATTATCCAAAATGTAGTTTTTTTTTTTTTTACTTATTAATTTTTTGTATTTAAATTTTAATTATAAAAATTAATAATTAAACATTTTGTCGATAAATCAAATCACGTGATTGATGTAGATAAAGCTATGCCGGGGTTAATGTTAGTGGAACTGGTAAAAGGGCCATTTGATTTTTCAGACTCTATTAATGTAGTCACGACTGCTATTATTTTAGTTTGATGCCCAAATCATTAGACCACGGTCAGGCCCATTAATGCTTGCATTGATTGCGTCTTCAGCTCTTCATTCTCGTACCACTTAATTTTTCATGCCTCCATTACTTCTAAGCTCTGGGGCTACCCCTCACGCACTATGATTTTGAAGGACATTGACATTATTTATCTGGTTTTCCATTTCTTTACGCACAAATTTACATTGCGTGATAAGTTAGTAAATTATTATTATTTTTTTAATTTTAATGATTATGGTTTAAATTATGACATTTTAAATATAAAAATATTACTCAAACACTTTTTTTCATGGAATATTAGTAATATAAAGGATTAGAAGGAAAGTAACACCACCATTGTGAAAATAAGAACTTTCTATATTTTTTTTATATTGGGACGAAAAGGGTTTGAACGTGAGATTTAATATTCTTGAAAAGAAATATGTGAATATCATAAAAACCCTACAATAATGAGCTATGACACCCACATAGCAGATGTTTAGGATCAGAACCAAGAATGTGTACACCAAACAGCAATAGATGTCAAGATCAAATAATCAATAGTGGAAAAAATTAGCCAAGGCAAGTGAATCACGTGGCTTACTTTGTATGAATGCGTTTTTTATCCACGCCACCCAAAAATAATAAATAAATAAATAAAAGAAGAACCTAAAACTTTAAAGTTGCAACAAATCCAAATCATAGATTATATATTACCTAAGCGTAATGATTATTCCTGTCCAAGTCATTATCACCATCAATATTTTTATTTAAAGTATGAACCCCTTCGCTACTATACCCACCATTGGCCCCATCAAACCCACATAATTAACTTACCTTTTCATTTGACTCATCGAACGAGTTCCTGCTGAAATTCCATTGAGCCTAATGTACCTCACCCACACGTTTACAAAAGCAATTAAGCCAGGTAAACGTCACGCAGTGGATTCTTTAACAGACCATTTATCTGTCCCCACGTGTCTTAACATCAGTCCACAGTCACGTCTGCTCCCACTCTCTCTTGGCCTTAAATATTCTGCTACAATTCTAGACCTATAGTCAGCATCATGGGAAGAGAATGACAACTCCTGAAACCACACGTGTCACAACCTAACAAAATATCGGTATTATGTAATTGGATCTGCCTTGGCAAATCAGCATCTTAGCTGACGATACTCGCATCTTGATCAAGATCCTACCGTCAACTTGCCCATCCAACGGCTCACATTTCTCTATGTCATGCCCAACCCTTACCATTTGTGGACGTGAGATTGTTTTTCTTACAAACCACAGAAACAGAACCAAAACTAGGAAATCTTCAGGCAGCTGAGTTCTAGAGAAGGGGAAACCAAAGAAAAAAATGAACCAGTTGTTGGATTCTCCGCTCGAAGTTTTAGCATTTAACTACGTAAGTTTTGGGATTTTCACGATTGTTAATCATCTATGGACGTGGGTCGCTGTTATATTCACTGCTGCCGTTAGTTTTTGGACGATCAGAGCCACCGGCGCTGCCACCTCATCATTTTCGGTTAAAAGTCATGATCCAATGCCGTCGACATCCATTATTGATCGATCAAATCCCGAAGCTGGAGAAAAGCCGACCGCTTCAGCTTTTGTTTCAACTCCAGCTTCCGTTAGGGAAACGAGCTGTGTTTCGCAGTTAGTTTGCAACGATGGAGCGACGAAAGGAGGGAAGTTCAAGTTGACAGTTTATTACGAGGATGATGGAGAGAGTGACGAAGATGGTGAAATGACGGAGACGGAATCGAGTAACGAAGGCGACTATTGTAAGGGAGGGAGTAGCGGGGAGTGGTGGGAGAGTTGGGAAAGAGTGTTGAGCTTGAGAAAAGGGGAAAGAGGGTGGAATCGTTATCAAGATTTGACGGCGATAAACGGCAACGTTGTTAGGTTATGGGATGAATCATGCAGGAGAAGAAGGTACAGCACAAGCTGTGCTGTCTGGTAGTTGGTGTTTTTTAGGAATTTAATGCAGTTTGGTATAATGTTTTTTTTTTTAATGTCTAATGACTTTTGGTTTGAGGTTGTGGAAACATGGAAATGTAAATATTTTTGTTGGAAGGAACAACCATTGAAAAACCATCTGAAACTTCATCCTCTTCCTCGCATGCTGATTTAGGTAGTTCTTGAAATGGTATGGAGTTTCATCTTCTTTATGACTTAAAAATGGCAAATTTAGGTCATCATGCACAGTCGATTAATAAGCGAAAGGTAACTGTTTTTAGGCATCTTATTTTGTTACTAGGTAGCTACTATGGTTTTCTGATCTTGTTAGTTTAGAATTTAGGACAGGAAAAAGATCATAGAGCTCAGTCTCAAAGGCGAAAGTGAAGGCTAGTCGAATAGCTCAGAACTCAGATGGCAGGAGCTGCCCTTTCGTCACGGAAACAAACACACACACACACACACAAATAAATAAATAAATAATACCCATTTTCTATAGAATAACTGGCAGCTTGCACGATGAGCATTTTCTAATGTCTAATATGGGTTTGGTTCATTGTTTGGCTGTTCTTAAGCTCTAGAATCTGGGGACCCACACCCTATTTTCCTCACCTTATTAATTACTACTAACAATTATTAATACCCGTCAGTTTGTATTTCGTAGATTAGATTGTTGCCTTTGTGACATCCGATGCTTTTTTTTTTCTTCATTTTACTTGATTCTTTTTGAAGCCATAGAACAAACGATGGCTCAGTCCTTTTGGTTTTTCCCCTTAATGACAATGACTCTCCCCCTTTCTTTTACTTGTCTAATTAACATTTTTGGCTGTGGGAGAAACCCTTTTTATAAACTTTTAGGCTTCACGTTTCGTGAGTAATAAGCCTCAGTCCTAATTAAAACTTCAATATTTAGTAGTCTTTCCAAGTTCCAAAATGAAAAAGGGCAGAGCTGATGGAAAAGATCAATTAATTATCTTTTGCGTAACATAATTAAAACTGGATTGGCTGGAGTAGGTACCGTCGGGTGTGACAAAAATTAAAAAATTCATTTTTTTTAATAAATAATCAAGAAGTTCTGTATCTCAAAAGATACGCTTCAGTTATAAATTAACCGATACTATTCTGATATTTTTATGACAAATTATATCTTATCACATATATACGTAAACAAATTTTAATATATTAATAATGAAACTTTTTAATTTTGTAAACATGATTAAGATAATAACACATGTGATATATATTTTTTAATTAATTTTTTTGTATTTTAAATATATATTAAAAAATATGTTATTATTATAATTCTTTTTGTTAAATTAAAAAACTCTACTTTAATAATTTAATAAATGAATTATTTTATTTATAAGTAGAGTACATATAAGTAGAGTTTTTAATATTTTTGACATGTAATTTATTTCTTTGTCTCTTCTGCCTTGCATGGGAATGAGAACATTATTTCAAAACTAATATTAAAAACCAATCACATAAATAATTGATTGGATTGCACCATTAGCAACAAATAACAATCAAACAAATTCCTAGTAATATAGTATATAAATAGACAATTATTGCACTCGTTATAATATGAAGAAAGAAAAGAGATATGACAACCTTTTGATTTTAAGTGGGAAAAATTATAGATGTAGGGAAACAATATAAAATTAGATGCATGACAAAATTTCAAAGGAATTAAAAAAACTTATCATTGAGAATATATAGGTCATACTTGTAAAGTGATTGGTTTCTCTTTTTTATTTGGCCTTTTGCAATACTTTTCCCAAACATATTGATTAGCACCATCCCAACACACCGCCAACTATTATCATCAGAGCAACAAAAAAAAAAAAGAAGAAAAGATGATGCTGCTATTTTCACTCAATTCTTCCGTTTTAATTATATGGTTCATACATCATGGTAGTTCGACCGATCCTTATATTAAAAGTCTCGAGTTTAAACCTTAATCATAGTCTAAAAATAAATAAAAACTTATATAAGATTATCCATTTATAACCAAATTGGGGATAAACCATCGGGGAATGAGCATGATGAATCCTTGACATGCATATTCACCATTTTCATTTTATCACAATGATCTATCAGATTAGATCTGCAAGCAAAGGGAATAGTTTTGACTTCTGGTGAAACCTTTATGGAAGCAAATAAAGAATATCAATTTGTCATATCATGCTTATCCATGCATGCCACAATAGTAACTTGAATGAGCAAGCTTAATTTCATCAGTGTTATAAATTTTTAACTCTTTATCTGTCATTTCACATCCCAACATGTGCTTTTAACTTCCATGAAGAAACAAATAAGGAACGTATTCCAGTTTAAAAGTCGTACAAATTGTTGGCTTTATCAGCCCCACCAGAAATACTCAGAAAACAGAGCCATGAGCCTCCTAAGTGGCAAATTCCATTGCAGTATATCTCCAGCCCACATTCCGGATATTTCAAAGCAATAACACTAGCATCTCTCTTAAGTGACACCTTCCCATCACATGATCCTGACTTCTGAAAATTTGCAATTAAATGGATAATTATTGAAAACAATTCTGGATTCTCAATTATTTTATTAGCTTTATGACTGGTAGATAGGTGACATTGTTCTGTTACTAATTTCCACGACAGGGATTATATTTGAAGTAAAACTTAGTTTAACAATGAAATTATCAGTCTGTCATGGAACGGACCTGCATCAATAACAGACAAAAACGAAGTATATATCCTCTTTCCTTTTGTTCTCTGAAGACGAAAAACTAGAAAGTAGAAACTGGATTGTGAAGTGATGTTAACAAACAGTGGTTTCTTTCAGTAGCAGGAAAATGATGATTGCTTTCAGACACCTAATTCCAGCCCAGATAAATACAGCATCTGTCGTGCAGGGAGTAGAAGATGATTCATCGTACGGTATTACGAGGAAGAAAAAACTGATAAAAAAGCTGCAATGATAGGTCCGAATTCCAAAATGCATTGTACCACAAAAAATAACCAAAGATATATATATATTACAATAAACATAAATGAAAATGGCCTGAGAGGTACTCCAGGATAAAGGATTCATTACCACAATGCAGAATATTTCCCGGTTTTCCATTGGCCAGATAGAGAACCTACATGAAATGAGCGGTTTAAGGTCCCAACTAGCAATTGTGACCGTTTTAGATGGAAGCCGAACCACAAAATTTGTGAAGTGACCCAAACCCCACCGTTGCCAATTCCAACACTCTGGTTCACTGATTGCCACACGCTTTCACATGGACAAAACCATTTCCAATGTTTCATCCAAAATTGCATGGTCACTTGTCCCAATTCCAAAATAAACCAGAGATTTCCCAACTCATGCTTTGGCTGGAATAGGATAGTGTGATTACAAACATGGAGTAACGGATTCACTGATGTAAATGTTGCAAATTTATGAATTCATACATATATTAAGACTTGCCTAAAGCCATCTAAAATATCAATTGATTAGAGTGGTCTACTAATAAATCACTTTCTTAATCAAACAATCATATCCTCCGTTTGTGGTTTCTCTTTCTTTCCTTGGTGAAGAATTGTACCAATCGGCTACCATTGCTTGGTGGGAATTTGGTTGAAGACACTTAGTCAGGTTGGGCTAATTGGTTAATGCTTCATGCTGGAATTAGAAAAAAAAATCACAAACTGTTTCTTTGGAGGAGCCAGCTGATTTTTTTCTCTGGATATTCAAAAGATGTAAAGATGGTTGAAGAAAGTCTTTGATTTAGGTGAACCGAAAGCCGATATTTTGTTTCGTGGTGGTGGGTCATGTGGCAACACCTGTTACACTCTGTCTCGCACATGCCCTGCTGCAGAACCGAAACAGAACATCAAAAACTTTCATTTGCTGGGGTCCTGGCTTTGTCAGATTAAATTCAATAATTTATGTTTTTTGTCAGGCCCCATGGTTGCATTAGTTTCACATTGATGGACTCTTGGGGGAAAAAAAAAAACTACTAACATTTCTCAACCATCCATCTAATTTTCGTACTAAGATTGTGAAATTTCAGTTGTCATTTTTTGATCCAATAGAAACAATTTTCTCATCCCTTATATCCTCCATTCTACATCAAATTAAGATTCTTGAGACAAGCCTTAAAGGATCTCATCGACAAAACAGACGTCAGTTTGTCGTGTTCTTATTTTCAAGTACATATTAAAGAAGTTCGAGGAAAATGAAAGATATACGTTCTTAATGTTATTATTTTTAAGGCGTTAATCTTGATTGTCTGCCATTTTAATATTAATATAACAAATTTGACCTAAAAACCCAAGATTTTAGATCACTATCGAACTGCAATTACGCTGGAATTCCACTTGATTATCAGTGGGATGGACGTGGGAGTAGATGTGAAACTCTTGTCTTCACTGGTAGATAGGCCAATAAATGGCAGTGTAGGATATCTCATTAATTATTTGCTGACGTCTTGTTTCTTGTTCTTGCATTGGATTATTTTCACCGCGGTGCATTAACTCCCATTAATTTTCATATCCCAATTGCCAACTCTACCCTTTACGTCAAACGCCAATACAGTAATTATATGCGAGTAATCTCCAAACAATCTTGAGGGTAATTTAGTCATTAAGTCAACTATAATTGCCTGCCGTTAACCCAACCATCACTCTCCCCCTATAAATTCCAGCTCTCCAACGAAGCAAAGCGCTAAAGTTAAACTCTCAACGCTCACTTAACGGCACTTAACAATGATGACTATCCCTTTCTTTCTTCTAACTTTCATCCTTTTCTTCTCCGCCGCCGCGGCCGCGGCCGCCTCCGCATCAAAGCACGGTTCATCTCAAGATCTGATCCGTTCATCATGTATTCACGCTAGCTATCCAAGCCTCTGCCTTCGCACCCTCTCTTCCTACTCTGGCCCTGCCAACACCCCATGTGAGTTAGCCCAAGCTGCCGTCAAAGTCAGCCTCTCCTGTGCACAGAAGGTGTCAAACTATCTGACAACAAGTGTGACGGGGAAGAGCAAGAGGGAACGAGTTGCACTGAATGACTGCGTGGAGCAGATATCGGAGTCGGTGGACGAGTTGAGCAAGACATTAGGAGAGTTGAAGCACTTGAGGGGGGAAACGTTCGAGTTTCAGATGAGTAATGCGCAGACATGGGTGAGCGCGGCTCTGACGAATGAGGACACGTGCCTTGATGGGTTTGAAGGAGTTGATGGGAAGGTGAAATCTGATGTGAAAAGGAAGATCACAACTGTAGCTAAGGTAACCAGTAATGCTTTGTATATGATTAATAGGCTTGATGAAAGTCGTGGTAGGCATCGGTTGAATCCTTGATGATGATGAATGATGGACGGTTGTGATTTAGCTGGCTTATCATGTTTGATTTTTTTTTTTTAACTTTCGGTTGTAAGCTGTAGGTAATATTTTGGTATTTATATATATATATATATAAATTTCAAATCTATCTTTAATTTTTTATATTTATTTATTTAACTCATATATGTAAAGAAACTTAAACGTCTATGTCCACTCAAATTTATATTAGCATAAATGGTATGCTTTTTCTTCTTGCATCTATTTTCTCTTTTTAAATATATAAAATAATAATGAATTAATAGTGTATTTTTTTTTCACCTTGGTTCAAAATTGAATGCAAGTATATTTAAGTTAAAAAAATATTTCCTCTTCTTTTTTGTTTCATCTTTTTTTTAAGATGTTTTAAAATTATATCTTATTTTTTTAAATACCTAAAATTTTTATTTTTTATATTTTAAAATATATTTTATGATTTTTTAACTTTTTATATTAAAAATTGTGAAATTTTAATTTTATAAAAAATTAATTTTAATATTAAGTTTATATATTAAAATCAAAATTTTATTTTAATTTTATGAAAATAAATGTAAAACAAATAAATAGAAACGAAATGATTATATATATTTTTATTTAAAACTTAAATTGTTCTTTAGAGCATGGGCTGGGCCAGCTGGCACTCAGTCTCCCAAATGAATCTTGGGTGATAATTTTAAAAAAATTTTTTTTAATAATTTTATTAATAATCATGTACTATATTAAACATTTAATAATAAGGTAAATGGATTGTCTTTACAGCTGAAACGTTCTGTTGGAATCTTTAATATCATATTCAAGTACACCTCATCAAAACCAGTTATCTGTTAATAGTTTGTTTGATTTTATTTTTTAATGTATGTTAAACCTTATTCGATTATGAATATAATTTTTAATTGTAAATTTTAATTCCATGAATATATAAATATAGAAACCAAAAGATAAATTCAAATTGATAGCTTGTTTGATTAAACAAAAAAAATCAGCTGATAGTATATTTCTCCGCAAGTTAGTGAAAAAAAAAAGGGTTGTTGGAGGCATATATGACTTCGTGAGATGGGGTGAAATAAATTCGATGTTGGACCAAAATCGTAAATTGAAAACGAAATATATATAAAGTATAATAATGGGGATGACGACATGCGTCACGAGATTGTTGGATTAAAACATTAATGATTGTGGACGTCGTGTGTTGTCGTCTGGCTGCCCCCCTGCAAATTTATAATTAAGAGGTAAACAAATCGAAAATAAATATATGAATGAATATTCGGTATTTATTTATTTATTTTAAAAGTTATTTGTATTTGATTCTTTGATAAAAATTATTTATTAAATTCAATTTTAATTTATTTAAATAATAAAATATTTATATTTTATTTACATTTAATTTTTTTAAGTTAAACAAATTTATTCATAAATATTAAATTAATTTATTTATGAAAATTAAACGAATATTTTTATAAATATATATAAATAAATATATTTATGAATAATAAATAAAGTATAACAAAATAAATTTAAATAAATATACAATTAAAAAATAAATGAATATAAACGAATGTTAATCAAACATAACAGTAAAATAGGTTGAAGAAGTTAAAGTATTAAGATAATAAAGTAAGTGATAAAAATTTAATTTATTATTATTATTATTGTTATTATTATTGAATAGTAAATAAATATAAATAAATCCTAAATAAACGAGTTTTAGTAAATTTTAAACGAATTTTTTTGTGAATATAAATAAAAAATTATATTATTTGATTTATATTTGATTTATATAATAAATAAATAAAAATTTATTTATTAAATTTAATAAATTAATATAAATAAAAAAAACTCGAATACATTTACGAGTTCATTTGCGTTAATATTCAGAGGTAATGGTTATACATTATAAGATCCAATACAATAGGTTAAATACACAAGGAAGATTTGGTGCAATCTCATTATAGGAGTCTGAATGTTATATTAATACTACAAAATTATTCGAGTTTGATTCGAATTCAATTCGATTATTATCGAGTCGAATTTGAGTTTAAATAATTCAATTTATCAATTAAGTCAAATTAGAATATTTTTATATTCGGTTCAAATAGTTCACGAATTTAATCAAATTTTTATATTTTTAAATTATTTTAATTAATACAATATTTTAAATTCAAGTTTGAGTATTAATAATTAAGTTTTTATTAAATATAATAATCGAATTTATTTTTACATATTAATTGAATTAAATCGAATAATTTTAAAAAATTTAATTTTTATCTTCAATCGAATTCGAGTTAAATTTTTTTTTTTATTGAACTTAAACTCAAATTTAATACCATATATGCTAACTACTCTATCTTATTATGTTCACGGTAGCTCCAATAATGTTGGAGCTAAGGCTCAAACATTCACGGCACCATCTTTAAATCTTTTGAATATTAATAGTAGCATAATCATCTTTTCTTATAATAACAGCTAAGGCTCAAACTCAATCGTCTTAATTATACTCAAACATTATGTCAATAACATATCCATGGTTAAATATCCTTTGTCGAAAGTAAAACTAAGTTTGGTTGCAAAACAAACAAAATTTCTCAAGAATCTCTCTATATTATACGAATATAATATTCCAGCCGGGGGGGAGTTGGCAGCCATCAAAAACCCCATGTGATCAACTTTTTTTTGCCCTTTTCCAAAACTATAACTTCTTAGTTTTTTAATGTTAAAATATTCATATCCGATTAAATATATAACAATAACATATCTTTCCTTGCAAAAAATAATTAATTACATCAATAAACACATAAACTCCTTCAAATATAAAAATAATATTAAATGAAATTGTCATTCTTTGATCTTTAACTAATATATCTCATTTAGAAAAAATATCACAACTACATCAAAATATAAAAATGTGAAAAGTTTTAAACTACTTATAAACCAATGTACATAAATTAACAAGTACTACAGAACACAAAATTTGTATAAAATCGTGTATAATGTTCATTTATGAACGTGTTTGATTTCAATGTATCATTATGTTAATATGTTCTTAACACTTTTTTTGCATGTAAATGTACATTTAACTAAAATTTTTGAGTTTGGACTATACAATTATTGTTCTTCACTTAAAACATGGAGTATATGTTATTTATGCATGTTGGATTTTATTTTCTTAAAATTAAGATTGAATAATATTCATACTAAATTATTTTACTAAATGTTGAGTAATAATTTGATTACATATCTCAAAATATTTTTTATTTAAATTATATATATTTTAGTGTCCCGTGATGTGGTCAAAGCTAGTTATTACATAAGATGATATGACGTTATCTTATGGGCCGTGAACCAGAGTGTTGGCCTACTTCAAAACCCAATAGCAAGACCGCCTTAGCCTTTTAAGTAACGAACCGATTCCCATTGATCCAAAACGCAAAACCTGAAAGCGATTTTCCCGCTGCATAAACCCTAGCCGCTTGTCCCTTCGTTAAACTGTTTGGGTTTTCAGCTGACAGAAAAAAAGAGAAAAAACTAAACGAGGCGGCAGGTACCGCCTTTTCACCATGGAAGGCATCGAAATGGATGGCCCGGACCTCTTCCTCGACTCACCAACCGGCAATTTCTGCGACTCTATCCTCTCTCACTTCTCGAAATCCGAGCAAGAAGACAGCCAACGCCTCTGCTCCACAATCGGCGCCATGTCTCACGAACTCAAAGAACAAAACCTCCCTCTCACTCCAATCGCTTACTTCGGCGCCACGATTTCCTCCCTCGACTGCCTCTCCTCCCAATCGGACTCTTCTCCTCACGTTGTCCAGTCTCTCACCACCATCCTCTCCCTCCTCCTCCCCCGTCTCCCCGTCGCCGTTTTGAAAAAGAAAGGAGATTTCGTTTCGAAAATTGTCGTTACCGTCCTAAGATTAAATTCTGTTACGGAGGTTACACTGACGTCAGGTTTGAAATGCTTAGCTCATTTATTAATTACCGGAGAGAAAGTTAATTGGTCCGATTTATCACAAAATTACGGTGTTATACTTGGATACTTAACCTATTCACTCACCAAGGTAATTTCTTTTTTTTTTAAATCTAAATATTTAAATTCAATCGAATTACGCTTTTTTTTTTTTTTAATTTTCTGCAAATGAATTCGAAATAGGTGAGAAGGCAATCACATTTGTGTATCCGTGACGTTTTAGAAAGCTTCCGAGGGACGCCTGCGCTGGCGCCTGCGAGCGAAGCGATAACGAACTTATTCGAGAGGTTTCTTCTTCTCGCGGGCGGTTCAAACTCGAATTCTAATGAAGGGACTAAAGGAGCTCAGGAAGTTCTCTATATTTTAGAGGCTCTTAAGGACTGTCTTCCGCTTATGTCGATGAAATACATGACTACAATTCTTAAGTACTATAAAACTTTATTGGAACTTCGGCAACCTCTTGTTACTAGGCGTGTAACGGATAGTTTAAACATTGTTTGTACTTATCCAAATGTAGAGGTTTCAGCTGAGGCATTGGTTGATTTATTATCTTTGTTAACTTTTTCTGTCTCTGCAAATGAAACTTCTGCCGTTGGCATGACATTTAATGCTCGTTTGTTGAGTTCCGGAATGTTAAAAGTATATTCTCTTAACAGACAACTTTCTGTGATTAAGCTCCCCATCGTGTTCAGCGCGCTTAAAGGTTTGGTATTTAGTTTAGTTTGCAACTGTTGTAAGTAGAGAAATTGAAAAGATGTTCTTTTATGATTATTGGATTTTGATTGTGATAGAGATTCTGGGGTCAGAGCATGAAGAAGCTATTTTTGCTGCCATGGAGGCTTTCAAGACCTTGATAAATGGCTGTGTTGATGAAGGCTTGATCAAACAGGGAGTGGATCAAATCATTAATACACACTCGGATGACAGAAAGTCAGGGCCAACTATTATTGAAAAAGTTTGTGTAACCATTGAGAGCTTACTTGATTATCATTATAGTGCGGTTTGGGACATGGCGTTTCAGGTTGTTTCAGCCATGTTTGATAAATTAGGTACTGTCATTGCCTTTGGCTGCTTCTTTTCTCTTGGTATTATTTC